CTTCCCAGAATAAAGCCCCAAAATAAAACCCCGGGAAAAAAAAAAAAAAAAAAAAAAAAAAAAAAGATAAATATATAAAAAATTACTATTGAGTTTAAAAATTAATTCTAGTCCCTGACAATTATAGTTAATATAAAATAGTATATACAGATACAGAGTAACTAGTAACAACATGAAGCTTTGTGAGACGGTAAATATATAAATAAATGGAAATGTGCCATTATCCTGGATTGGAAAACTACTGTAATTTCTCTTTTTATAAGTTTAATTCATTCTTAATGAAAATTCCCATAGAGTTTGATAAAATTATTCTGAAATGTTTGAGGTAGAATAGTGATAATAAATAGAATAAAGAAAAGTTGTCTAATCCTACTATATACATTAAAAAGTGAGACTAATCAAAGCATTAAATTAAATAATACCACAAAGATTAAGTATGATTTAAGATTAATTTTAAAATTCTATATGAATATCTATATCATTGGAAAAATATAAAGTTACCCTGTAAGAACCTTGCATATGACAAAATAATGAGGAGAGAAATTGTACTATTTTAAACACATGATTTTGAAGAAATAGGTGTTTGGAAGCAAAATCAGTTTATATCCATTCCTAGAGTCATATATGAATTTGTATTAACTATTCATGAGCAAAATAATGATGTAAATGGTTTCAAGGGAAACATAAAACAGAACAAACTGTTGTCCAGCAATTTAAATGTATAATAGAATGTTTCATTTTATGTATCTTTTACTTCCTCGGCTGAAGACGGCTGGTTTTAAAACTTACAGTTATGTGGCTAAGAAAGAAATAATTGAGCCAGATTCAGGGTTGGTGAAAACAATGGTTGCTTTTCTTCACCTGTGTTATTTTATACTATCTTCTTAGTAATTTTGAACCACTGGCTAATTATTATTAACTGCTTAAATTAATAAAAGTTTGTATGCAGTGAAGATAAATTTTTTTCTCTCCTGTACAGTGTCTTCCTAATTCAGTCCTTCATCTTTGTAGCTTCTAGTAAGACTACACGTAGTTTTAAAAAGTAAGATCTTGCTATCCTGTGTTTCTGAGTGTTCAAATTAGCTTCTTTCTCTTTCCCTTCCTCCCCTCCTCCCTCCCCTGTGGTCATACAGAGGTCTCTTTGTTTCAAAAACTTTTATTTTTACAACTGTCTTCCAAGGTATTTGCTTTTGTTTTTGTTTTGTAAACTGGGGTATTTACTAGGATGACCCTTTGACATCAAAAGCCCACGACAACATGTTGATAGGTGAAAGTCGGGGGTTTCACGTGATGAATGTGACACATTCTGGGATTCTGACACACAGCTCTCCTGCGTGTGGCCAGTGTTCACGGGCCCCTCTCTGTCCCTCAGGCCGCCTACGTGCTTTCCAAGTATCAGTACTTCGTCTGCCCCGTCGAGTACCGCAGCGATGTCAACTCCTTTGTCACCGAGTGTGAGCCTGCTGACCTGTTCCAGCTGCACAGCTACGTGCTGCCCTCCTTCCTGAAGGCGGTGTTGAGGCGGGTAAGAGCGGGTGCCCAAGACGTGTGGTAGGGAGGAACTTTCCTCCCAGAGACCAAGCCATCTGTGCGTGAGGTCAGAGTTCTACTGGAAGCCAAGTCCTGCAGGGCTTTTGACCTGATGGCCTTGCAGTGGTTTTTGTGTGTGGTTACCGTTGATGGTATGTTCTCCCCTTGTGATTTCTCTTTCCTAAGCCTGAATTGAGTTTGAAAATTGCAAATCATTTGTGTCTGAAGAATATACTTAAATATTGATGGTAATTTACTTTGTATGTGTTGTAAGAATGGTTTTTATAATCTGTATATTTTTACAAATCAAATGAGTTAGGATGAGTTTTACATGTTACTGCTATGAATTAGCTCAATTTAAAAATCAAAATTCACCAATTCAAAGAGCACTTAAGTTTTAGAGAATGTTTATTAGCCCAGGAAGCTTCTACTTTCAAAAATGAGCGTTCCAGGCTGGGGATTTAGCTCATTGGCAGAGCGCCTGCCTCACAAGTGCGAGGACCTGAGTTCAATCCCTGTACAAAAAAAAAAAAAAAAAAAAAAAAAAAAAAAAAAAAAAAGAAAAGAAAAGAAAAGAAAGCGTTCCTCCCAAAAGCACACTCTGCTATTTAGAGCACTTTGAAGTCCGCCATGAGAGTACCTACATGCTCCTTAGTAGCTAGCGCTCCCTGACCTGAGGTGTGGTCCACTAAAAAGGAGAATCATTTGTTGCGGGGGGAGACATGCATGGGTGCTCATGTTAGCATTTTGCTTTTAATTAAATTCATAATTTTTTGGAAGCATGTTAACCAATAAATTACTTCTTTCATTAAGTGTTCAGTGTCCAAGCTTTCTGTTACCTGTTCCAGCACTTTCAGGGACACCAGCCTTTGATCCAGGGAAGGCTACTGCTTTGAGCAGCAACCACAGGACTTGCTGTTCCCAGACATCTCTGTTGGACCTCAGTTTGTATTATTATTATTATTTTTTTGTAACAGGGATCAAACTCAGAACCCTGAGCCTGCAAGGCAGGTGGTGGCACCACTGAGCTAAATCCCCAGCTCCTCAGTTTGTGTTATTTACAGAGGAGTGAAAGGTTTGGATTTACAGAATAGACTGCAGAATTCTGTTTTTACTCTTTTCCCCTCTTTTATGATTGTCTTGCTGATGCTCATTTTGATAGTTCTTTGTATTTTTGTTTCCACAGCATTCAGCATAGCTGTAAGAGAAAAATCCAGTTTTTCCCTTTCACCATGTAAAGTTAAATCAAGTGAAATAAATTACAAAATTAAAATGTCATTTTATTACCAGTACTACTGGTTAAAAAAAAAAAAACTATAGAAATTAGCTCAGCAGATTCTCTGCCCATCCAACAGCCCCTACCTACCATTGTCCAGTTCCCAGGTCATCTGGAATACGTTCTACCAGCTGCATGACTCAGGGTCCCCTGGGTGCCTTGCGGAGAGGACAGAAGGGCTGGCCCAGCAGTTGCCAGGACAGAGGACTTGGAATGGATTTTTCTCTGCTGACACTGAAATCTTGGGAAATCAACCCCCCAAAAGAGTGCCACCTGCTTTGACGTACTTTTATATCATGACTTCTGCATTTGAGTAGGAGACATGCTTAAATACAATTTTAGTGGGATTAGTCCCAGTGTCCCCTCTACCACTTTCTTTTTCCTTTACAGGAGACAGTGAGTTTGTATCCTTTCCAGATACACAGCATTGCTCTTTCAACTTTCGCTTCTTTGATTGGCCCATTTGGAGGCTTCTTTGCCAGTGGTTTCAAAAGAGCTTTCAAAATCAAGGTACGTTTTTGGATTCTTTGTTACGTTATTCATGAACATTATTAGAGAGTGTATCTTAGTTGGAATTTGGTCCACTGTTGGTTGAAGTTTAATCCTTAGGCAAAATTTTACAGCTGCACAAAAACTGCCTTTTAGATTAGAGTGTGTTCTTTTCTATTAGGTTTCTTTCCGTCATGCCATGTAAATACATCCATCTTAAAGTGTGCTGCCAGCCTCTTAAAAAAATGGCTTGGATTGGGGATTTAGCTCAGTGGTTCCCCCGCCTGCCTCCCAAGCACAAGGACCCGAGTTCGATCCCTGGTACCAAAAAAAAAAGAAAGAAAGAAAAGTCACCCCAGGTTCTGGGGGCTGGGATTTAGCTCAGTGGTTCTGCTGCCTGCCTCACAAACACAAGATTCCGAGTTCGACCCCCGGTACCAAACAAAGGAAAAAAAAAAAAAAAATGGCTTGCTCCCTAAATATTGGTATTAGCAGAATCCTGTTTATTCAAGTGCTAGGGGTCTAACCATGAATGATCTGAAACTTAGTGCTCGTCCAGTCTCACTTGAAGGGTATCGCAGAGCCTTCAGGTGGGTAGCCATCCATTCTGCTTGATTGGGGATTGCCAAGCTTTCCTGGGAAGAGCGAATGCTGTTGTGTTCAGCAAGGCATACCGTGATTCCTATCATACCTCTCCACTCTGAATTCTGCTGTTGCAGTGGGAGCCCCCATACACAGGCCATATGTTGATGAATACGTGTGATTGGGTCTTAATAAAACTGTATTTACAGGGGGCCAGGGATTTAACTCAGTGTTTCCAGAGCCTGCCTTGCAAGCACAAGGGCCCAAGTTCAATCCCTGGTACCAAAAAAAAAAAATTTTACAAAGCAGGCTGTGGGCTGGATTTGGTCTTGGAGACCTAGTTTGCAAACTCTGCTCTAGATACTTCAAACTGTCCTTATGTTTTGATTAGGCCAGCTCATCATGAAGGGACATCACCTTGTCTCCCTTACTTAAGGCAGGGTCACATTGTGTGCCCTGAGGGGCTAGTGAGTGAGGTGAGGTGAAGGTGGTGAGAGCAGGGAAGGTGTCTGAGAGGTAGCATTTGAGAGGAGGTCTGAGCAAAGGAGAGTGAGTCCTGCAGAGAAAGCAAAGGGAGAGAGTTGCAGGGAGTGCAGAGGAGTGGAGGCCGCACTGCTCCCCGGGAAGGACACTCGAGTCATCGGGAAGGTGGATGCACCTGGGGACCCCAGTGCTGCGTGGAGTCAGTCAGACCCAGGAGGCATCAGGTGGTTTCTGTTGTATGAGAAGTCATTTGAAGGAAGTGGGAAGGGGATCTGAGGTAAGGGAGGCGTGAAGGGCGTGGAAGGTCCGTGTCTGTAACTACTGACTATTCTAGGCGTGTGCTATTAGAAACAAATGAATAAACTTCACTTAACGTAATAAAACCTGACTTTAGAAAACTTTCCATTAAGTTAATTTTAACGTTTAATTAGTGTCACTCTGATGCTCTAGGTCAGTTCCACAATCATCCTCAAATGAGCTCATACTTGAAAGACATGGTTTTAATCTGTTGGATATGTTCTGATAAATCTGCATTTAGTGGAAAAACTTAATAGCATTTTCCTTATATAGCTCATGATGCCGTAAAGATGTGTAAATGTCCGTAAGAGTTTTATACAGGTGATATTGTTGGCAAATTCATGCATGTATTTGTTTCTAAAGGATTTTGCAAACACCATCCCTGGGCACGGCGGAATCATGGACAGATTTGACTGTCAGTATTTGATGGCAACTTTTGTGCACGTATACATCACCAGTTTCATAAGGTACTTTGCATGCCAAAACTTCATCACACAATTGCTTTGAGTCCTGATTTACACTAACATGCATTTAAACAAGTTAACTTTTCGGTCACTGGGAACCTACGTTATCAAAGAGACTGTTGGCCCCTGCACTGTAATTTTGGGTAGTGTGATACTGTTACTTTGCAAATATTTTACATACCTTTAAAGCAACTTAGCGCAAAACAAAAGCATAGTATATCCGTGGTTCTTAACAAGACAGGCTAATGACAGTTCATGTGCCTAATACTGGATTTAAAGCATGAGGTTAATTTCTCATCTGTGGGCATTAAAGTGGTGATAAAGCTAATAGTTAAAAAGTAGAAAACAGTTTATTTCATCTGCCAATTATTGCTTGAGTGCCTGTTACATGTCCTAGAAGTTCTAGGCATAGAGTTAGCAGAGAACGAAACCAGGTGTTGAGAGGTTTGGAGGGAGGAGGATCAGAAACGGGCAGTAAACAAATACAGCTTGTTAGATGCTTGTAAGTGTCAAGAACAAAAATAAAGTGGGCCAGGGTGATCCTGCTTATGGGGAGGGGTAGGGGGTGGCTACTGCTGTTTTATAAAGGTTGGTTATTCTTGATAATAAAACGCCATGTTTGAATTTGCCCTAAAATGGGGCTTGGGTGTTCCCGCTAAGCCCGTTGTGTTCCATGGGCCCAGGGGCAGGGCACTTAAAATAGCACCTGTGGTGTGGGCCGCCCAGATTGCCTTCATACACTTATCTGCAGTGAAGCTCATATTTAGAGGTCCCTACATACATACGTTACACGCTAATTATTTTTTTTTTTTTTGGACTAGGGATCGAACTCAGGACCTTGCACTTGCAAGGCAGGCATGGTGCCACTGAGTTAAATCCCAGGTGACATATGTTAAATATATACCTGTACCAGTGGAAGAATTTTTGTGATTTTTTTTTTTTTATTTTGAGCAAGAGAGAGGCTGCAATGTCATTAAAGGTTTATCGATTTCATTAATGTTTTCAAATAAACTTCTAGGTTTGCCAATTTTCTCTATGGTGTATTTGTTTTGTACACCATTGATTTCTCCTCTCATTTTTCATTCCTGTATCTTTTAGGTTTAATTTGCTGTTCTTTTTCTAGCTTCTTGAGGTGAAACCTAGATTATTGATGTCCAGCCTTCTTGTCTAAGACTACAGGCGTTCTCATCAGTACCACTTTACTTCATCCTACAAGTTATATTTGTATTTTCCTTACTCATTTCTAAATATTTTCTTTTTGCCAATATTGACACATGGCTTATTTAGAAGTTTATTGATTGATTTCCAGGTGAAGATTTTCTCATCTTTCTTTGTTGATATTTGAGTCCCACTGTGGTCAGAAAACACATATTTTAGGGTTTCAGTGTTTATTTTTGACCCATGTTGAAGCTGCACATGGATCTGATGCAGAGAAATGTAGCTCCCAACCTGCTAGATGCCTAATGTGTTGAGTTTGTGTCCCCTAAAATCGAAGAGTGATTCTAAAGGACAGTGGAGGTCCAGACCAGGAAAGGTTTATTGAGAGATCACTCCCAAGAGACAGAAGGGGCACCGAAGTGGTTGTCACCGAGGCCCTTTGTCAGGGGTAATTTATACAGGGAAGACACAGTGAGGGTACAGCGTGGGCCACACTGCCACTCACCGATAGTAGTCTTACAAGTAAAGCTACTTAGCTAATGTTGAGCAACAGGGAAGCGGGTCACAGAGCAAGGGTACCTGGAAAGAGCAAAAGCATTTTAAGGAAGGGATGAGTCCAAACACTGATCACCCACTTGGGCGACTGATGCCCAGCTGGACTTTCTGGACCAGGCAGTGCTAATTATAGTATAAATCCAAGTTACAGGCCTCACGCCTGGCATCAGTCTTTATCTTGAAGCCCGGTCATCTTCACATATGCCTCCAGCCTCAGTTTTGGTATACTCTGATCTTTTCAGACTCTCTGAAGGGCCTGTCCTTGTCTGAATGTCTGTTCATTTGTATCTAACTTAGCTGCCTATAGTAAAACAAATGTGCATTTGGTAGTTTCCCCATGTAACACTGTAATGTGTCAGTTGGGTGAAATTTAATTAAATCTTTTGTGTGGATTTAGTTTTTATTTTCTGACTTGCTTGTTGTGTTGGTTACAAAGAGAGCTTTGTTAAAAGCTCTTGATGCAATTATAAATTTATTCCTCTTTCTAGTTCTGTCAATTTTTGCATTCTGTATTTTGAGGTTGAATTGGGTGCATACAAACTTAAGATCACTATATTTCTCTCTTGAATTGGTCCTTTTATGTTACAATGTCTACCATCCTTATTACCTGTCTTCAAGCCTACTCTTTTGGATATTAGAAAAGCTACAGCAGCATTCTTATGATTAGTGTTTGCATAGCATTTCTCTCTTATTTTATTTTTAGCATTCTATTGTCATTATTTTTGATGGTGTGTTTCTCTTTTGTTTTTGTTTGTTGGTTTGTTTGTTTGTTTTTTGAGACGGGTCTCACTAAGTAGCTGAGACTGACCTAGAACTCAAGCGATCCTCCTGCCTCAACCTTCATGGTGCTGGGATTACAAGGCATGTACCACCATGCCCAGCGGTTTCTCTTTTCTAGTAAACATTTAGCTTGAATTTCTTGTTTTATAACCAAGTTAACAGACTTTGTCTTTTAAATTGAAGTATTTAGTTTATTTGCTTGATAGATATTTATTTGTTGATATACAGTATTTGGATGTTAGTGATGAGAACAATTTTTTTCAGAACTTTTTATTTTCAGAAAATGCAGCTTTTGGGGGCATTAACTTATACTCTTTAAGGAACAGCTGCTATTCTCTGAGTAGGGAGAAGTCATTCTGGGCCTCACTGTCCACCCCTGGAAAGCAAATAATTCCTCCTTTTAGAGATGCAGGGCTGGTGCCAGGATGGGGATGCCCAGCACCTGCTGACATAGCTTTGCACTCAGTTGAACTTGCTAAAAGTGCTTCCCTTTCTCTGTGGACCCTGTTCTGGTCTGTGCTGTGGCTGTTGCTGAATCCTGTGCAGAAATGCAGTAGGGCAGGCTGCACCCTGGCTGGAGTGCACTTGGGCCATGAGAGGCTCCTGGCCAGGGAGGGTTGACAGATGGCCTGGGGCCATGAGCATGGGGTGACTCATGGGTGGTGATCGGATCTCCTGTGTAGTTTTCACAAATCAAAGATTTCTACATTAACTGGTTTCACTTCTCATCCTCCTTGTGATAACACCATATAGCAGACGTTTCTTTGTTGCCAGGATTTCTACTTCCTGTTACTTTGTTTAAACAGTTTTAGTTATTGTGAATCATACATGTATTTCCCCATGTATGTGTCAGAATTCCCTTCTGTCTCCCATGTATGACTTAGGTGTCGCTTGTTCCAGTTTTCTCTCCACAAAACGTAAACCTCACTCTGCTTTCCCCACCTGAGTAGGCTGGGGAAGTACAGGAGCAGCACAGGCACAGAAAGATTGAACTGGGTACATTCTTCTTTTTCTTTTTTTGGTACCAGCGGTCGAACTCAGACCCTTGTGCTTGTGAGGCAGGTGCCAGAACCACTGAGCTAAATCCCTGGCCCCCAAAACTGAGTACATTCTTAACCCTCGATGAACCAGTGCTGGAAAAGTGCAAACACAGGTGGTCTGGATTCATCAGTGGGTTCGGTTCCAGAGTCTAGGGATGGGAAACCACAGTCTCACCATAGCTGACTGCCATTGTAGCTCTTGTGGGAAAGGTCGGGGTCATGCCCTGTGCTCACAGCCTGGGAAGGGAACCTGGAAGAGGTGCCAGGAGGGCACTTTGAGGAGGGATCCCAGCTGGCTATGGAGCTTTGGGAATAAGAGTGGGGCCAGGCGAGGGTGTGTGCACTGCCCAGCCCTTCCTCTGCCTACACCTGGTCCCCTGGCCGCTGCTGTGGGTTATGTGGAGGGCAGGACCCTCTTCCTTCTCCTCCTTTCAGACAGCGCGGAACAGTAGAACTTGTTTGGTGACTTGGGTCACCTGATACTTTCTTGGACCAGGTTCTAGTGCCTGTTGCTTATCTTGGGCAGGGGCTTTAGTGCTAGGCTCAGGACGTCTGCATTCTGTCTCCTTAACATTTCTAGCTCCCTGTTTCTTTGACAAAGTAGCTTTTACCATCTGGAAATCTGTCTAAAGGTAAGAATTTAAATTGGGTTTTTGTGCCCACTTTTGGGTTTCTCCTGTGCCTGGCAAGCTCCTTTCCTTACGGAATGGTTTTGTGTCCTGTCCAGTCTTGGGGTCTCATTTGTCACTGCCTCTCAGCTCAGCCTGCCCTCCAGAGACTCTCTGTCTGACCTTGATCTGCACGCCCCTGTTGGCCTGTGTCATCCCTGTGTTCTGTGTTTGTGTATTTCCGCATTTGGATTGTGTGTTCCTCAGAGCAGACTAGTTTTGGATTTCTCTCTCCTGACAGTATGGGCCAGTAAAGTGAGCTCTTACCAAAAGCCACCTCAGTTCTGGGAGGTCACTGCTCTGCACTCGGAGGAGGGGTTGGGCTGTACTCGTGGTAAATGTTGCCCTTCACCCTGGGAAAGCAGAACTCACTCTGTCTCTCCACTGTTCCTCAGGGGCCCGAATCCCAGCAAGGTACTGCAGCAGCTGCTGGTGCTCCAGCCAGACCAGCAGCTGAACATCTACAGAACCCTGAAGACGCACCTCATTGAGAAGGGCATCCTCCAGCCCGCCTTGAAGGTGTGACTGGCCCGAGGGAGGACTTGGGACAAGGAGAAGCCTGGCAGACAAAATCTTGTCCCTGTACAGAAAAATGGTTGAAAATGCAATAGATTGAACTTTCACAGGCACAAATGTTTCTCCTCTGAAATTACTGTGAATATTTAACAAACACTTGATCTGAGTCATGAAATAAGTAGCAAATCGCCACCAAAATATCCTGTCCTTTTTCTGTGATGTGTTTCCTGACATTAACTTCCTTCACCCTACTTGCTGGGTTTCATAATTTTAAAGAGTCAAATGCTATAAAATGAGTAACTCCAGGGTGTCTTCAGATAATACCTGGCAGTGGGATCTTTTGCACAAATATTTACTTTTGCCCTTCAAGCTGCTCTTTCATTTTTGCAGGACATTTTATGTAAGGCACAATAGGAAGCCAGTTCTCTTGGACTTCCTCCTCTTCTATCAGAAGAATGTTCCGAAGCTTAGTAGGGTGGGGGAAAGATTGTTCCCCCAACCCCTTCCTTCTCTTTTTCCTTTCCTTCTCTTCCGTTCCCTTTTTTCCTTTTCTCCTTTCCCTCTCTCCCTTCCCCCTCTTCTCTCTCTCCTCCCTCCCTCCTTCCTTCTGTTCCTTCCATTCCTCTCTTTGGGTCTCTGTCTTTCTGTCGTTGTCTTTGTCTCTGTCTTTTCGTACAGGGGATAAAACTGAGAGCCTTGTGTGTGCAAGGTATGTCCTCTACTTTTGACTCACCCCAGCCATTTGTCCACTTTTCAAAGTAGTCTTTTTCTGGGAGAAAACGTTCTACTTTTAGCTAGGTTCAAAATTTGGAAAAGGGAGGCTGCAGTTTCTGCTACTATTGATAGAGCAGTCATCAAAATACATCTGATAAAATTGTTTGGGAAATGACTTTGCAGAACCTTTCTAAGAGAAGAAAAGGTGATTCCTGCCGGAGGAGCAGGTGTACAGGTGCTGCCCGTGCACTGTGTTCTAAGGACAGCATGAAGCAGCAGTGCTGTGGCTGGGCCTGTGGGCAAAGCCAACCCATCTCTCTCGCTGCCCTGTGCGCTGCCTTCACTGAGCTCTGAGGCCTGGCACTGAGCAAACCAGCGCAGGGCAGGGAGCGGGGCAGGGGCTGGCTGGGGCTGGCCAAGGGCAAGAGTGACCATGGCGTTGTGCAGGCCCTGTGTGCCCCTCGTCTCCAGGATGGCCCTTTGGCAACGCGACCAGGACAAGGACGATCAGCCCACCGACCTGAGCCTGGAGTAACTCCCTGGTACTGATCTTGGTCCTGCTGCACTTTGCCTTCATGTCCTCCAGTCTGAGGGCGGAAGACAATGCCTCTTTCTTTCAAGAATGAAGACCCAGCAGATGTGATTCCCACCAAAAACAAAGAGCACAAATGCCAAACCTTTGCTTTGGTGGACTGGACACTAACACACAAGAGTACTATCTTTTTTAGTATATATTTTTATCGTTACAGTGTATGTTGGCAACACGTAACGATTCCATGCGCCTCGGGGAACTGGTACCTGGACACACTGCATCTTGATCATTCTCCTTCCCTTCCCCCTCCCACTGCCTCCCTTCCACAGATCCATCGACTGTACAGAAGCTTCCTGTGCTGTGTGCTGTCTAGACCCACATCTCATGTATCGGACAGTTGGCAGGAAGCCTTCAGAAATTTCCAGGTGTTCAGAGGGAAGAAACAGATATATTTTAAAGAATGCTTTGCTAATGAAGAGAGTAAATATTTTTGTTTAAATCAGAAACAGATTACAATCGTTTTGTATTTCCATTCTCTTACCCCTGAAATAGAAAGTTGCTGCAAGGGACCCTGTCAAATGGACCTTAACTGTCAGTCTTATCCTGAGTCCTGAGGGGTCACAGGAGACACAGTTGCACTCAGGACCGAATCTCATTCTTGTTCTGGCCTGGCAGGCCCTTAGCTGACTGGCCACTGCTGCGCGTGCTGTCAGCAGATTTCTCTGTGCTCCTCAAAAGCTTGGAATCGCCGCTGAGACTGTTGTATGAAGGGGTGGCCGCTCCAAAGAGCAGAACACCTCTGAGTTTTCAACACCTCCTACTTTTGTTTGCCCCATTAAAAGCACCAGATGTTGATCTTAAGAGAATTTCAGACACCAAAGTTTAAAAATATGTACAATGAAAACATTGTGATAGGAGCTTGCATTGAAAACTTTGCAGCCCGCAGGAGTGAAAACTCATTGGAGATCCATAGATGCCACATTTTTCTGTAAAGTAATTGGTAAGACTTCTCAAGATAGAATTATGAGGGCAGTACTTAATATGTATATTATAAAATTATGAACAAAGTATGAAACTAAGGATATTTGGGGTCACAGCTTTTCCTTAGATACGCTTTTAGAGTGGGATGTACATTATATGTAAAAAAAAATTATATGTAAAAAAAATTTTAACAGAGCTCTGATGATCAGCCTTTTTAGCATACTTTTATAGCATGTATATTAAAATAGAATATATTTTAGCAAAAGATCGCCATGAAACCCTGACTTGATCACTTTTCTACTTGTGCTAGGATGAGGACTTAGATTGCAGTGCGGCAGTGTAGTGGAAAAGTGCAAAGTAGCCTCTTTCTTCACAGTTGAGGCTCCTCGCTCCGGATCTGCTTACTGGGGAGGAGCTGCAGTGAGACCTCCGCATGCTGTCTAAGCTGTGAAACAAATGTATTTTCTTGCACTTTTTCTTGGTGCCAGGACACACATCAGCGCTGAAAGCAAAGAGACTTCGCTGCCCACTTAGTTTCTTTTATGTACAGCATCTCTTCATTTGCACTTTGGCTTGAACGAAGACAGCGTCACCTTGTTCCACGGAGAACAAATGGTAGAAACTGTATTGTACACGGGTGAACATTCATGTTTTCTGTCAGTCCTCTGAATCTTTTTACTGATATCGCGATAGGAAAATAAAACCAAATATCGTATTTTGAGTTTTTTGTGCCATTTTCTCATTGGACAAAGCAGAATTCACTGCACTAGTGTTTACGCAGTAGTGACAGATACACACATATATTCACCTCTACAGTGACATCTTCAGAGTGGAGGGGAGCAAGTTTTGGGACACTTGAACAACTGTGTTGGTTAAGAGGTGATGTCTTGAGTTTCTGAGGTATGCACCAGAGTTTGTAGTGATGTGTTTATTTTGGAAATTTGCTGAATGGCATCTGATCCCTCCTAGAACTGTGAACTGTTGGAAGCCAATTCAGGCTGTCTCACTTGGCCTCTTTGTCCCCAGTCTGGCCAAAGCGTATGTCCTGCAGGTACCCAGGCTTCTGAGCAAATGGGCTTGGAGACTAAGAGGCTCCTGGGAGCTCCCATTGTCCCACACCTTGTCTTTTCTGCATAGCTGTGGGATGGGTTTCATTAGCTCATTGTATTATTTTAAGGATTCAGGGAAACAGGTAATTTGCAGCCGATATGGAGTAGCTGGTCATTAACCCTTAAGTTTCCTTTGTCCCATCTGCTCCTGTCCTGTTGCCTCTTTTGTGGAAAGGGATGGGGTGGGGGTGGGGGTGGAACAGAAAAACAAATTTTAGCTCTGGCTTCTTTCAGCATCATTGACCCAAGTGTCCCTTGAACTGCAGATGGCTCAGCAGTTTACTTTTTTCATCCTGGGGTGTCTGATGCAGCCAGCACAGAGCTTTGTTCGGGAAAGATGAAAGTGTCAGGGTCTGCAGCCCTTTACAACGATGGGTCTGATGGAGGAGTGTGCCAGGTGAGGGGGCTGTGGCCTGTTGGTAGTGGTGACAGAGGGGAAATAAATGTAACTCCCAGACTCCTAGGTATCAGATGCCAAGTTTGTGTTCCCCACAATTGAATGAATTCTAAGGAACAACAGAAGTTGAGTAGGAAAAATTTGAGAGAGCTCCTGAGAGACAGGAAGTGACTGGAAAGTGGGTTGCCAACAAGCCCACTCCTCAAAGGAAGTTTTACAGATCGACATCACAAGGTGGGTACAACATGGGTCAGAACCTTGATCAATAAGGTTACAGGTATAGTCACTTAGTATTGATCCAGTGGGGAAGCAGGTCACGTAGCAAGGGTACATGGAAAGACCAAGGGCCTTTTTAGGGAGAGAGGAATCAGAAGGTCCTGGTCACCCACTGGGGTGGCTGATGTCTATCCAGACCTTATTGGCCCAGGTAACACCAGTTATAGTCTTCAATTTATTGCTTATGCTTAAGGGGTGGTATATAGGCCTGGCATTAAACAGATGCTCATCCAGCCGCATGTGATGTATTCTCCTCTTCTGCACTGACTCCCTTGAGAGCCTAGTCCTGTCTGACTGCCTATACCGTTTCTACCTAAATTCACTATCTATTAATACCAGGAATGTGGGGAAGCCCCATCTGCTCTTCACTCAGAGCCTGTTCATCCGTAGCTAGGGCTGCTCATCACTTCCTGAAACGCACACTTCAAATCCACTCACCAGGAAGGGGCTGCATCTCAGAAGCTGGGTAGTAGCTGTAGGTCAGGCCTAGATGATATAACCCCAGTTAGATTCCTGGCGTAGATGAGCTGGTGGTCTGTGCACAGGAGTGGGCCTTCTGGAATCATTGAATTAATATTGAGCAGTTCATAGAAAGCTGGGCTGGCTCATTTTCCAGTGATAGCAAAGTGAGTTCCAGAAGTAGCTGAGAGGACCTGATCCAGGCCCCTCCGTTGACTGCCCGACCTGAGTATGATGGAGACAGGGCTTTCCTGTTCAGGAACATGTGATTGTACACTTCAGACAGGCTGGGAAGAGTAGCACATTTGGGGAACATTGTTGACTGATCTATTCAATGTATTTCTCTTTGGCTTTAATCCTCAAATGTTTGTGAAGGAGCAGCAGCAGAAGTTTCCTCCTGGTGAGATGGACACACCGGAATGGTGAGAACTTCAATTTGTTTCTTGTCCCCAACAGCTATACTGAAATCTAATTTTCCTACCATAACACTGTTCATCACCAAATCCATCTTGAGGACAGTTCCACATTTTTCCAGAAGCTTCCTGGGTAACTATTTACAGTAATCACCTGGTTTGAGCTTAGAAACCAAAATGTCAATGTGGAAAGTAGAGGCCAGGAGGTTTTTAGCTGGGAACAAGGACTCCATCTGCTCTTGGATCAGAGGGCATATGTCTTACACTCTGGCAGAAAATTTATCTACATTTTGGATATGTCTTGAGACTTTTCAGAAGACTGAGATTAAGGATGACTAATTATTTTAGCAAAAAGAATTTTAGGGCAAGCCGGGCCTGGTGGTGCATGCCTGTAATCCCAGCACTTGGGAGGCTGAGGCAGGAGGATTGCTGTGAGTTTAAGACCAGCCTGGGCTATATAGTGAGTTCCATGTCAGTCTCAATTACATAGTGAGACCCTGTCTCAAAAAAAAAAAAAAAATGGTGGGACAGCCCAACATTTAGTCTGCAGCAAGGGTACTACTGGCTGCTTTTATCCAGATTGATGGTAAAAATCAGGTCAAAAGGCAGAGCAGAAAAAATTGAAAAACTTAAATTTTGGCTCAGAAGGAACCATGTGTAAAGTTAGGGCCAAAAAGG